GGTGGGGGAGGGGGGCTGTATTAAAAGGAACGGCGATGAACCCCTCCCCGAAAGGGAAGAGGGAAGATGGAGGAGGAGATTCGCTAAACCGCCTTCGCCCAGAGGGGGTTACGCTGAAGGACCCCACATGCTCGGATGGACTCTTCGCGCGCTGGCCTCGTACGAGCACGCCTGCAGAACGCGCGAGGAAGTGTCCCCGGCTCCTGCGCTGATCCTGGGAGGCACCCGCCACGCTGGGAGCGCGGGACCACCCCCTGCGCACCCCCTTTGGTGTCGAGGAGGCGCCACGCCTGCCACGCCCCGTGGATGTGCGTGACGGCAGGAGGAGCACCTGTTGCGCACCCCCTGTTCGCGTCGAGGAGTTGCCGCGCTTACCCGCATCCTGCGAGCGCGGGACGGATGGGGGAACCACCCCTTGCGCACCCCCCCCTGGTGTCGAGGAAGAGCCACGCCCGGAGGGAGTGGGACGGCTAAGGAGGCCACTCCCTGCGCAACCCCTCTGGTGTCGAGGACGTGGCACGCACGGGCAGGAGAACCCCCCTTTTGCGAGCCCTTTTGCTGGAGTCAGGGAAGAGCCGCCCTCTGCCACGGCATTCGAGCGTGGGACGGACAGGGCAACCGCCACTTGCGCACCACCGTTTTCTGGTACCGAGGAGACTCCACGCCTGCCACGCCGTGCGAGCGAGGAGCGGGTAGGGGAACCGCTCCCGGCGCATCCTCTTTTTTACCCTGCGGGAGCAGGACAGGTCTGGAAATCTCTCCGTGTGCACCCTCGCTGGTGTCGGGGACATGCCACGCCTTGCGAGCGTGGGACGGACAGGGGGGCCACCCCTTGCGAACCTTCTCTGGTGACCACGAAATGCCATGCTTGCCACGCCGTCCGTGTATGGGACAGTTGGAGGAACCACCACCAGCGCACCATTTTTTCTGGCATCGGCGAAATTCCACGCTTGCCACGCCTTGCGAGCGAGGAACGGATAGGGGAACCTCCCCTTTCGCATCCTCGATTGCCTTGCGAGAGCCAGACGGATATGGAAGCCGCTCCTTGCGCACCCTCTCTGCTGTCGGGGAAATGCCACGCCTTGCGAGAGTGGGACGGACATGGGAACCTACCCCCGGCGCACCTTCTCTGGTGCCGAGGAAGTGCCACTGCTGCCACGCCCTGAGAGCGTGGCACGGATAGGGAAACCATCCCTTGAACCACCCTGTACGCACCCCATCTGGCACCGAGGAAATGCAACGCGTGCCACGCCTTGAGGGCATGGCGCAAATAGTTGAACCACCCCTTGCGAACCATTTGTTCTGGTGTCGTGGAAGTGCCACGGTTGCCACGCCTTGCGAGCGCGGGACGGATAGAGGACCTTTTTGTGCACCCCCTCTGCTGTCGCGAAAGTGCCGCGCCTGCCACGCCCTGGGGGCGTGGCACGGATGCGTGAGGCACCCCCATGTGGTGTCGAGGACGTGGCACGTTTGCCAGGCCCTGGGAGCGTGGCACGGACAGATCAGCTTGCGCACCACCTCGCCTGGCATCGAGGCAGTGCCACGCCCGCCATGGCACTCGGGCGTGGGGCGGGCCGGGGAACCACCGCGTCGAGGATACGCAACCCCTGCCGCGCCCTGGGGGGGCGTGGCACGGATGCGTGAGGCACCCCTTGCGCACCCCCTCTGGTGTTGAGGAAGTGACGCGCTTGCCCGACCCTGGGAGCGTGGGCACGTATATGTAAGCCACACCTTGCGCACAAGTTTCTCGTGTCGGGGAAATGCCACGCTTGCCACGCCCTGCGCAACCCCTCTGCTGTCGAGGAAATGGCACGCCTGCCGCGCACAAAGACTGCGGTACGCATGGGGGAACCACCCCTTGCAAACCTGTTTCTGGTTTCGAGGAAGTGTCACGCCTGCCGCGCCAGGGGTGCGAGTCACGGGTTGGGTGGGCCACCCTTTGATGACCGCTCTGCTGTCGAGGAAGTGCCACGATTGCCGTGCACTGGAAGCGCGGCACGGATGGGGGAGGACCACCCACATTCCTGGTGTCGAGAAAGTGCCACGCCTGCCAGGCACTGAGAGCGTGGCACGGATATGGGAACCAACCCCTGCGCACCCCCGCCGGCGTCGAGGAAGTGCCACGCCTGCCAGCCCCTGCGAGCGTGGCGCGGATGGTGGAGCCCCCCCGTACGCACGCCCTCTGGTATCGGGGCTTCCGAGACTCGTGCTAGGCTCCTGACACGCGATTGCGAGGGTGAGGGTACGGATGTGTGATGGTGGCGTGCGTGTTGCAAGGATTCGGCATGGCACGTGCTGTGTAGGGAGGAACCAGGAGGAAAGTGATAAAAGAGGGGAATGAGAGGAGGCGTAGACGCGGGTACGACGCGGGTGAAAAATAAAACCAGAGCCCGACTGACCGTGACGGAAATTCGCATGAGCATAAATTGTCCGAGGTAAGCGCGGATTTCCTGGGTCGGCGTTGGACCCCACCCAGCGCGTTTCGCTCGCCAGGGGGAGTAGTTCTGACGCCGAGCCAAGAAATCCGCCAGGATATCCGAAAGTGCATGTTTATGCAGGCTGTTGATCCAAAGGAGCAGGAGGAGCACGAGGAGGGGGAGGGGGAGGGGGAGGAGGAGGAGGAGGAGGAGGAGGAGGAGGAGGAGGAGGGAGCAGCCCTTGTACATATTTTTGCCAGTTGTAAGCACCCCTTTTACAAGGTGCATGCCTGGGGTGCCAATGTCGGCGGTCGTTGCTCCATGAGGTCTTACACCCGCGAACACGCCCGAGTAATGCAGAGGAGGAGGAGGAGGAGGAGGAGGAGGAGGAGGAGGAGGGGCAGCACGCGGCCGGAGTGAAACAACGAGATCAGCGTATAGCTGTCGCACCGTGGTTAAGGCACCACGGTGACACAAAAGGTATTGCTTTGATGCGCATGCACTCGAGTGCTGCGCTCTATAGTACAGTGCCGTATCCATTTGCCTGCGGCAAACCCCGCCACCGTGCCAACGCAGCAGCGCAGCAGGAAGGAGGTCGACCTTAAGATCCGTTGATATTAAGTACCCTTTCTGAACTGGCGCTGGTCTTGAATGCATCCTCCTTGTCTGCGGCCTTGTGCTCACACTCTTCTTTCACCTCGGAGGCGTATTTGGCGTCTTCGGGGCCTTTTGGGTCACTCTTGGGGCTCGCTTGGGGCCCTCCAGCCGTTTTGGGCGCGATGGTTTGACCGAGGAGTTCAATTGCCGTTTGTTCTTGAAAAGGTTCGATTGAATTACGTTGGGGACGTATAACGGGGTCTTGAGGCCGATGTGAAGCTCTTTTGGGCCGCCTTGAGGGATTGTCGGACCGTCTTGGGACAATCTTGACGCTGTCTTGGTGCCGCCCAAGAGGCGCCAATGGTCAGTACGCCAGCGCTGCAGCTGACCATCGGCAACTGTGATGGCAGCGACTTACCATATTGAGCGTTCCTTGGGGATCTCTGTAGCTTTCCTCCACCGATCTGAAGTTGGAAAGCCTCTGAAACAAAAACATGAATTCCCCGTGCGTTACATTGGTTTTGCTTCCCAGGATCTCGCCGAGGGCTTCTGGTGGGGCTCTTGGGATCGACTGGGGGCGTTGGGGAGATCGCTGGCTCGTCTTGGGCCGGCAGTTGGGCATCCCACAGCAGTTTTTGTGCAGTCGGGGGCCGCCTGGAGGCCGACCAGAGCGGCTTGGATGCAGAACAGCAAAACCGGTGGAGGTGGTGTTCGTAGGGGGCGTGTTGTTGATGGAGGGGGTTCTGACGAATTACATGAACCCTTTCAGGCAACTAACAAGCGTTCTGACACACTACTATCGCGCAGGCGCGGTGGCCGATTTTTTCAACGGACCTTACCCATCATCCTTCTCTTCGTCCTTCTCGTTATCCTCATCTTTGACCTGATCCTCCTTCTCCTCCTCCTCCTCCTCGTCATCATTACCATCATCAGCAGCAGCATCATTATCATCAACAGCATCATCAGAGTCATCATCATCATCAGCAGCAGCAGCATCATCATAGTCCTCATCCTCATCCTCATCCTCTCACCAGCACTAGCAACATTACAATCGTCGTATCATCCTCCTCGCCATCATCCTCAGCATCAGCATCAGCGTCATCACCATCACCCTTCGCATGTCCGACTCCTCCACCCCCAGCCTTACCTCCAGAATAAAGGCCGAGGGCCTTTCTTATTTTGCCTCAGTTGCTCTCGGAGCAGAAATGAGCCCACACTTCTGTGCTGCACGACGTCGGCATTCAGACTTAGGCGAGGTGCCTGACACCAGCCTCTGCGAGCGGTGGGCCTCCCTCTCCAACCCTCCAGACGCCCTTGATAACCCATGGAACCTTTCGAGTACCTTCTCGTCCTCTTCCATAGCTAGGTGTGAAGGAAGCGTATCCAGAGGGAAACGGGTCCTGGACCCCAGGGCCTTCCCTTGGACGCCAGGCCCTTCCCTTGCTTGACTGGCGGCCCACAAGAGAGTTGGGGATATGGTGATGGAGCGCAGTGATTTGCAACATATTTATGTTATTGGCTGCGATTCGTACCTCCTCATTCTCACAGCTACGAGCATGTCGGAAGTTGTTTCGAGCATAGTTTCTCTTCCAGTACATAAATTCGATCTCGAGACGCCATGATTACCATGATTATGTGACTATCGACCCGCACTTCTGGGGCGCATGGCGCGGACTGGTCACACCGTAGCTTGATTACATTATCGAGGTTGCATGACATAAATTGAGAATCATAAATAAGAACGTTTCGGCAAAAGCGTTAGTGGTATGAACGCTCACTTTGAGCTTGTTGTGGATGGCGATCAGCGGAAGTATTGGGATCGACTGTTGCCGTGTAGATCAGGGAACGTCGGCGCTGCATCGCCACGTACCCCACTCGCTGCCTGGACGGAATTCGTGTGCTATAGTTTATATACTGGGAAGCTGGATGCATGCGACCTGCCGGCGGCCCTGGGGCCTGGGGAGTCCCCCGTGAATACGAGGCCAGATGCCTCCAGAACCCATCTTCCTCGGGGCCCCGATCTTTCGTGGTGGCCTGCACCGTAAGCATAAACATTCAGAAGTCAGCGCGGAGTGCGCTGCGCGGAGCTCGACTAGACGTAAGAGTGACCTTTCGCCGGAGTGACCTCTGGTGCGGGCACAGATGGGCCCTCCGATGGCTGAAGACGAAGTGGCAGCAGGGGCTTGCGCGCCCAGGTTTGGTCTCCCCGCGGCCCCCAAAAAGCCGCGCACCAAAGGTGACGAACCAACAACACACACCCATACCCATAGGGGGGTCGGAAAGGGCTACGGGTGCATGTTGTCGGATGGGGGTCCCCGCTCGAACGGGAGCGTTCCCTAGGGTCCGACAATCCGCACCCATACCCATAGCCAGTCCTCCTCCCAACGACCACCTTATGGGTATGGGTGTGTGTTGTTCGTTCGTCAAAAGGTCACTCTTACCCAGGGTCACTCTTGCGTGTAGCCGAGGAGCGCACGCCTTTGCCCGCTCGCCGCCGGAGCGGTGCTGGCACAACGGCCGCACCCTTCGCGCAAGGGGAGGGTGCGCGGCTGGGGCTCGCGCCCCGAGCGCGGCCGCGCACCCCTTGGCGGGCTTGCATGGACCCGCGGGGGAGGAGGGGGAGGAGGAGGAGGAGGAGGAGGAGGAGGAGGAGGAGGAGGAGGAGGAGGAGGAGGAGGAGGAGAGGAGGAGGAGGAGGAGGAGGAGGAGGAGGAGGAGGGATGGGAGGGAAGAGGGAAGGGAGGGGGAGGGGAGGGGGAGGGGGAGGGGAGGGGGAGGCGGAGGAGGAGGAGGAGGAGGAGGAGGAGGAGGGAGGAGGAGGAGGAGGAGGAGGAGGAGGAGAAGGAGGAGGAGGAGGTGGACAGTGTAAACCCAAGACCCTGCAAGTTCCCTCTTCCGAGGCCCCTGCAAGGGTTCATTGATCACTGAGGGACGTGTGGAGGAGGGGGAGGAGGAGAAGGAGGAGGAGGAGGAGCAGGCGGAGGAGGAGGAGGAGGAGGGGGGGAGGAGGAGGGGGGAGGGAGGATCCAGAACCCAAGTCGATTTGTCACTGAAATTGTGAGAACGTCCGAGACTTGAAACAACGCTAGACCAGAGCAACCGACACCCAGTCGGGGTGGTCAAGCGAAAAAGCCAGGAAGCTTGGCCCGAGGGCCTGCCTGCTCGGCGCTACATTGCGCAGAGCGGAGGGCGGAGGAGGGAGAGAACGGGGAGGGGAAGGAGGAGCATAATCGCGGGGGGACGGATTATGAGGAGGAGGCGGACATGATGTAGTCTGTTTTCGGGTGACTGCCACTTCGCCGCTGAAGTCCGCACTGCCATCGCTGCCGCTGAATCAATGGCCAACAACTGCATGCGCGCGAAAGTACGCGCGCGCGCCCGCTGGCTACATTTTGGCCCAAGGTGGCTATGGAGTTGAAATGTGAGCGTGAGAAAAGGACATAGACCTCATCAGCCTTGTTTCCTGAAAGCGACGTTTGGGAATTTGGCCGAGTATTTCCAGATACCCACGACCATGGAAAAGGCAGAAGTCCAATGTCGACGCTCACCTAGCACAGTTGGAGAAAACAACTTCTAGTCATTTGTAGAGAAGGAGTGGGAGCGGGAGGGGGAGGAGGAGGGGGTGGTAAGTTGCTCTCCCGGCCCGTCACGTCCCAGATGCCCAAAGACGAGCTCAAATACTCGAAAACATGCGGGAGCTTCCAAAGACCCCACTAGAACCCGGAGGACCGAGGGCAACATTTGGCAGCAGGGAGGAGGAGGAGAAGGAGCAGCATGGAGCAGGGCACAGCCACGACGGCGCAAGGAGGCGTCAAGCCGTCAAGCCGACGTCCGCCGAGAAGCGGGGCGCAGAGCACAGGCGCACATCTGCCCTTTCCCTCCGCGCGCCAGCGGTGGATACCTTTCCCAGCCGCCCCGACGCCGCAGCTGGGAAGGCCCGGGTCGGCGAGTGAGCGGGCAGAGTTTTTTTTTACTCAAGCAGTGGCGAGGCGTCCTGGCTCGCCTAGAGCCCTGCCAAACAATGTTCTGAGAGCCTTTGGGGGGTGTCCACGAAACGTTCTCAGAACACGTCTGGCGGAGTCTGTCCTGTTTTGTCACATCGGGTGCATGTTCTAAGAACATTGTTGTTGTCTTAGAACAGTTGTGGGTTCTAAAACGTTCCGTGGTAGGACTATAGGAATGACAGGACGGTCGGCCCCTGCTCAAATTACAGTCGGACCGAGGTATAAGATCGGGGTCGTTTCGGAGAGGGTATCTTCATGTTCTTCGTGCTCGCTTGATGTTCTTGTGCATCCTGGGGAGGGCACCCCTGGATGTTCTGTGTACCTTGGCCGACGGAGGGTCTCATGTTCTTGGAGGATGCTATGATGTCTTGGGTCCGACTGTGTTCGTGGAAGGAGAAAGGAGGAGGAGCCGTTCGGATGACGCTGCTCCACCTTGTCATCGCCGTGCTCGTATTGCTCACAGGGCGGCTGCGCGCGGACTTGCTTCGCCGCGCGAAGAGGAGCCGTGCGGGGCTGGCCCCGATCGCCAGTGGCACTCTCCACACAGCCTACTTGGGCTCCCCGGGGCCGCCTCCCCGACCTGGGACGACGCCGCGGAGTTGATCCCATCTTTTCATAACTTCCCTGAGACCCCCTCGCGTCGCGAAACTGCTCCGACGGTGGGACCCCGCATGAGAATCTCCGGTGTCTGCCTGAATATACTCGTGCCTCATGATCCTCCTCCTTTTCCTCCTCCTCCTCCTCCTCCTCCTGCTCCTCCTCCTGCTCTCCTCCTCCTCCTCCTCCTCCTCTCTCCTCCTCCTCATCCTCCTCCTCCTCCTCCTCCTCCTCCTCCTCCTCCTCCTCCTCCTACTCCTCCCTCTCCTCCTCCTCTGACTCATCCCGTCTCGGGATATTCGAGTTCTCGGACGGGGCAATTTTCAATGGCCTGCTGAAAAACGTGGCAGGACTGCTGAATCCGTCTCCCTCATACTCGCGTTGGGGAGAGCGGGGCATGGTACGAAATGGTGGCTAAGTTCAAGGGTTCAGTGATCAACAGGGGGCGGCGGATATGATGGCCTTCGGCACATCCCGCCACCGTGCCTGGGTACTGAGCATATTTGATGTTCGCAGTTTGAACGCCCTTTGGGGGCCGTTCGGGTGCCTCTTGGGGCCTCTTTTGGGCATCTTGGGGGCCTCTTGAGGCCTCCTGGGCATCTTGGGGCGGAAGGCTCGGATTTTCAGTTGGTGTTCCCTCGTTTGAGTCGGTTTCGGGGCCGTCTTGGGGCCTTCTTGGGCCGTTTTAGGCGCCTCTTGGGCTGTCTTGGGGCCCTCTTGGGCCGTTTTGGAGCCCTCTTGTAGGCCTTTTGGGTCGTCTTGGAGCGGTCTTGGGGGCATCTAGGGCCGTCCGGGAGCGTCGGGAAGCCGAAAAGGCGAGAACACGAATTCCACCAAAACTGAAGCACAACCAATGATTTTGCCCTCTTGGAAGGCCTCTTGAAGGCATCTTTGGGCGTCTTGGAGGCCTCTTGGGCCGTCTCGGGACCATCTTGAGCGTCTTGGAGCGATCGTTCGGCTACTCGGGGTCCTCTTGGACCATCTCGAAAGCTTCTTGGGGCCCTCTTGGCCCATCTTGGGGACCCCTTGGGCCCGAAAAGTTCACGCGACAACCCTCGGGGGAGCCCCGGAGCGCCACGACAAGCCCCAGGGGACTTGGGCCGAGGGGCCCCGAACCCCCTCAAAGACTCTTCAGGAGCGAGGGCTGAGGCTCAGAGAGGGGCGGCGAGCCCAGTCCGTGCCTGAGGCATGGCGTCGATGCCAAACAAAGAGGAGGAGGAGGAGGAGGAGGAGGAGGAGGAGGAGGAGGAGGAGGAGGAGCAGGAGGAGGAGGAGGACGAGGAGGAGGAGGAGGAGGAGGAGGAGGAGGGGAGGAGAGGAGGAGGAGGAGGAGGAGGAGGAGGAGAGGGAGGAGGAGGAGGGGAGGAGGAGGCGGAGGAGGAGGAGGAGGAGAGGAGGAGGAGGAGGAGAGAGGAGAGGAGGAGGAGGAGGAGGAGGAGGAGGAGAGGAGAGGAGGAGGAGGGAGGAGGGAGGAGGAGGAGGAGGAGCAGGAGGAGGAGGAGGCTGAGGGCCCACTCCGTGCCCGGCGGTGCGGTGGCGCATGCGGCGCGGCACGCCGCGCCCGAGCCGCTCGGAGGGGGGGCGACTCCGGGCGGAGGAGCAGGCTGCGCCCCGAGGCGGCCCGCGGCCCGCCCGCGGCAGCCGCTGGCGGCCGTCGGCCTGCGCCTCGTCGGCCGTCGGCGGTCGTCGGCGGCCGCCGGCGGTCGTCGGCCCTCGTCGGCGGCCGCGGGCGGCGGTCGTCGGCGCCCTTTGGGGTGTCGGCGGCCGTCGGCGCCCTTTGGGTGTCGGCGGCCGTGAGCGGCTTTCGGCGGCGGGTCCCTCGGGTGCCCATCGCCGCTCGGGGAGGCGCGCCGCCCGCCGCTGCCCCGGGGCGTTGGCGCCAACGTCCTGGCTGGGCGAAGGGCTGAGGCTGGTACTGAGGAGGAGGAGGAGGAGGAGGAGGAGGAGGAGGAAAAGGAAAAGGGAGGAGGAGGAGGAGGAGGAGGAGGAGGGGAAGGAGAGGAGGAGGAGGAGGAGAGAAGGAGGAGGAGGAGGAGAGGAGGAGGAGGAGGAGAGAGGAGGAGAGGAGGAGGAGGAGGAGGAGGAGGAGGAGGAGGAGGAGGAGGGAGGAGGATGAGGAGGAGGAGGAGGAGGAGAGGGAGGAGGGAGTAGGAGGAGGAGGAGGAGGAGGATGAGGAAAAGGAGAGGAGGAGGAGGAGGGGAAGGAGGAGGTGGAGGAGGAGGAGGAGGAAAAGGAGGAGGAGGAGGAGGGGAAGGAGGAGGAGGAGGACCAATGTAAACCATAGAGTAATCGTCGATGGTGGAACAAACCCTCCCTCCAAGCTCCCTCTTCACAGGCCCCTAGAACGGTTCATTTCCATTGAAGGAACTGCCTCTTTGGAAGACAACCGTTTGAAGACCCTGAAGCATGTCAAAACATTGTTCTCGGGATTCCAACAACACGGATCAACATGGCTGTTGCGTCTTGACAATCCTGAATCGTGCCAGAACACCATTCTTGGGACTTCAACACAGCGAACCAACATAACTGCTGCACCCGCACAATCCTTAATCCGTTCAAAACACCATTTCTGGCAAGTTGATGATGGGAATCCGTGGAACTCTTGCAAATGTTTTACAGCGAGTGTGCGCCGCGCTAAGGCGAGACCCACATTTTGAAGAGGAGCTGCCCTCAATCCGTGAAACTCCTGCATGTTTGAAACGAATGTGCGCTGCGCTAAGGCGAGACCCACATTTTGAAAACGACCCACTCTCAATCCGTGAAACTCTTGCAATTGTTTAAACCGGATGTGCGCCGCGCTACGACGAAAGCCACATGTTGAAAACGACCCGCCCTCAATCCGCGAAACGATTGCCATGTTTCAAAACGAATGTGCGCCGCACTAAGGCGAGAGCCTTTTTTTGAAAACCAGCCGCCCTCCATCTGTGAAACTGTTGTCAAGTTTTGAGCTTCAGAGGCATGAATGGTGAGGAAGTCTCAGGCGAAACGCCTGGCCAGCCCTAAAAACTGGCCTCGGGGTGCGACAGGGAGAAATCATTTAGGGAGGAGGAGGAGGAGGAGGAGGAGGAGGCGGGGGGAGAAGGACAAAGGAGGAGGAGGAGGAGGTGGAGAAGGAGGAGGCGGCGGCGGGGGGGGAGGAGGGTTGGGAACGAGAGAGAGAGAGAGATGGGAGGGAAAGAGAGATAGATAGAGAGAGTGCGCGTGTGTGTGCGTGTGTGTACACGGGAGAGTGTGTGTGAGAGAGAGAGAGAGAGCAAGGTGAACCGCGCGAAGTACGAGCAGCACTCCGACTTGGTCGAGCAGCTCGTCGCCACCGGGGACGCGGACATCTGTGGCGCGCCCTCGACGTCCTGGACATCGGCAGGCGGGGGCGAGGAGGACGAGGAGGACAGTGAGGACGAGCAGCGGGCGGCAGCAGGTTTCGGACGGGCGGCAACGGGGGGCAGTGAACGCGGGGAGGGATTGGGATTGCAGGAGCTCCCTCATTTCCTCATCCCGTGTTCCTTCTTCTTTGCTTCGGCTTGCACGAGCATGATGGAATCCCCGCCCCATCAGCTGGGAAGCTCACAGTTTTTCAGAATCGGGGTTCTTCCACAACCAATGCAAACCAGCGAGGACCCAAGACATTGCGTTCTAGAATGGCAGGTGGTGCAAGCTACGTGGCGCAACGTGGTGCAATATATCTCGTGTGAGCTATATGTGTGCAATCTCCGCAGTGCCATCTATTTGGTGTGATCTGTGTGGTGTACGCTATGTGGTGTAATCTACATTGCACAATCTACGTGGTGCAACTAATCGTTGCCAACCCTTGAAACGCAACTCC